CGGCCCGGTGGGAGGCGGGGTGCGGCTTCCCCGGCGGGGGCATCCCTGCGGGCGCGAGGGGCGTGCGGGCGCGTGGGCTGCTGTGTGCACGCACACCCCGGGGTGGAAGGCGTCTTGGGCGCTGCCCGAGTGCTGCAGCTTCGATTTGCATATGTAAATGGTTGCCTGGGGTACGCAGCCCTCCCCGCTGAGACTGGGCGACGTCCGCCGGCTCCCCAGCACCTTTCCCCGCTCTCCTGCGTTCTCTCGAGCCTCTCCGAGGTCCTACACCTTGCTTCCGCTGGTTATTTTTCTGGTTTCCTCCCTCGCATTGCTTCTTGCTGCGTTCTGATGACCTCTGAGTAATGTTCCCCGTCTTTCCCTCCTTCCCACTGTTCCCAGTGACAGCGTTACCTAGTTGCTGAGCTGCCAGAAACCTGTTCCTGTATTCTCTTTCCTCGGTAGATTCCTCCAAGTGAGAAAGCAGTTGTCTTCAGTATGGTATGCCACGACTAGGCCTCAGTCCAGTCACGAAAACCAAGTATGCCGTTATAATTCATTTTCTTTACCCAGGGTACCTCATGGAGCTTTGATTTTCTTTGGTGCCCTTTCAGTCCCTTTGCAGACCAGGACGTTCACCACCATAATCCTGCAAGCATCAAATGGAAGAGTTTTTAAGATCGGAGGAATATTTATTTGTATCAGCCTGAAAATTAGTCTTTTTAAAAACCAGTGCTGCTGTTGAATGGGTCTGAGTCGCATGTGGCTTGGATGTCTCTTTTCCACCCTTGTATATTCGCTGAAGGCTTGGTTTTATTTATTTTAGATCTGTATTTCCTTTTGCTAATTTTTGTTTGCAAATGTAATAATACCTGTTGTAACTGACATACATAGATCTCTTGGGGGAATCAGTGTCATGCTGATTGTTAAGTACAGTACAAGAAATAATTTTGGGATATCTATTCTTCAAACATTATGAGGAAAGATGCCATCATAGGTGAGTCTGTACTGACAAGGAGTTTTTCTTTAATTCTATTCCTCTGATAAGAGGCCTTTTGTACTTCAGTGTTAAAGGGCCTTTATTTTGATGGAAACTTGTAGGAAACACTGTGGGGGGGTGCGGCAGATGCTTCAATTTCCTCAAGTGGCGGCGAGCTTTCATAAAACAAGTCCAGACATGTTATGGCAGTTGGTAGCATTTGATTTTCTGTTTATAGTGCTAATTTCCTTTATGCAGATGCTTTGACCCTCTCCTCTACCTTTTCTCTTATGAATTAGCACCATGTTTGTGGCAGTTTAGCATTAGAAGGACTGGACTACTGGATGGTTAGCCTCTAACATTATCAGCTGTAACTGGGTAGTTAAAGTTTTACAAAGCCGGTCTTTGTCTCTTTGGTTTCCCTTTCTAAACTGTCCATATCCATCTTTGCTTGCTGGATATCTTTGCTTGATTTAATTTGAGAGAAATAATATCATTATGGAGAATCTAGCTTTTTAAACGTTATAAATGCACATTGCTTTTATGTTCCTAAAAATAATGGGCAGCAAACTTCTGCCTGAGTCAAATAATCATTTTTCTGAATGTGATTAATGAAAAATGGTTTTAAAATCCTCTGGCTAATTTTTATGCATTTTTGTCCTTAACTACACCATTTTTCAATAACAGTAATTTCCTTTCCTGCCCCCAGACTGTGAATTTAGTATAACAGTTGTTAACTTGCTTGCAATTTCTTGCTACCATGTACTAAAAAAAAAGAGGTAAAATTAACTTTTAACTTTTCAAAACTTGATTCATTTTAGTAAATCTATTACCATAATGTATACATTTTCATTGCAGATGGAAAATCACAGCAGCTTAAAATAGCCATATTCTATTGACCAAGAAAAGAGTTTAATAATATTGAGAGAGTGCAGGGAATTGTAGATTTTGTAATAAGGATCCTAATTTGGGTTAATTAGAACCCTGGGAACTCAGGGTGTACCATAGTTCATTTTGAGAAACTCAGAATTAGAAATATCATCTGGGTGGGAGGCAAGAGAAATTATAAAGGCTGAGGATGAGGTGGAACATACTAGGTGTTTCAGAGTAAAATAGAGTAAGACCTATCAGTTGTTTAATAGGAAACTGGGAAGAAACAGCTGGAGACTGAGGAACTGGAATTATATAAGGGCTAGGGGGTATGATTCATTACTGTCCGTACCTACCAACCAGAAATACCTTATTTTGTGCAGGTAGTTTGCCTCTTGATGGAGAGAAAATATTTTGATTTTACAAAAGACTCGAGAATACAGTCTAAGGCCTTATGAGGTGGGACCATAAACTCAAGGGTCTCCAGGGAGCAGCCTGAGTGGGCACTCAGGTGCCAGGGAAAGGCAGGCCTGGTAGAGAGGACAGCGCCCTTGAACGCTAACCCACTGGTTGTTCCCTTTGGAGAATTGTGGGAGGACTCTAGCCAGATACTCCTTCTATCAGGAGATGCTATGACCCACAATTTCTTGATTTTTTGGGGGGTGGGTACCGAGAATCGAACTTAAGACTTTGCGCTTGCCAGCAGGCACTGTGCCACTGAGCTGTATCCCTGGCCCAATCTCTTGATTTTTAAACATTGACAGTGAATTCAGTTTTAAAAATGAAAGCATAACAAAACACTATTTCAAACAGTTCATCTATGGCTGTATATGGCCTAGTTGATGTCTGTTTTAACCTCTGTTGTAAGAAATCACTGACTCAGTCACTTAAATGTTACTAATTGATCGAAAAGACCATTTTTTACTTATATCTATCACATTTTACTTCCGGTTATTCCTTGATATTTTAGCTAGTTGTAGAAGTACATGGATTCTGCTGCTTTTTTCTTTTTTCACTCTGACATCATGTGGATGGAAAAGAGGTATTTGCTAAGATTCTTAGCTGGTAGGGTTTTTTTTTTTTTTTTTGACTATGCATAATTATTATCAAGAGTGTTTAAGTATGCCTGAGGGAAGGGGTCTGGACTGGGTGACCTTTGATGTTCATTTCAGTTGTATGACTTTTGGATTTAATTAGCTAAGCTTGTAATGCCATTAATGTTCATAGGCCAGAGGGATGGCAGTTGGAGCTGTGCCAAGTGATATGAAGTCAAATCTGTAAAGCCATTCTCAGTGGAAGAGTGTCCAGTCAATGTAAATTAAAGCAGGGGAAGTCTGCTAGAGGAGGCAAAAGGAAAAGGTCCCAGAGATAGGTTGGAGAAGCAGAGGAAGGAGACAGATGCCAGCATAATTTATTTACATGTCATATTGTTGAGCTCTCGTTACTAAGTTGTTTTCTTCTCCCCTGGTGGATTCAGGTTTGAAGACTCGACTTTGCATTGCTCACTGGATTATGCACAAGGCTCTCCCACCCAATGATCCTCTTGCAACACGCTGGGCTTCCTCCACCTAAGCAACCTTCATACTCTCCTCCTATGTCAGTGGCCACCAGGTCTACAGGACCCTTGCAGCTTCCACAGCAGAAGCCTTTTGGCCAGGAGGCTTCCTTGCCTCTGGCAGGGGAAGAAGAGTTACCTAAGGCAGGGGAGCAAGACTCTGCCCTGGAGGAGCTATGTAAGCCCCTATACTGCAAGCTCTGTAATGTCACCTTGAACTCAGCACAGCAAGCCCAGGCTCATTATCAGGTAAGGGAAGAAAAGAAGATCAGGTACACTGTATTTGCTGGGGTGAACATTCCATGCTATGCCTGTTTAGAAGTTGTTTCTCCCTATATGACCAGTTGTGCTTGGAAAATCAAGATGCATTAGAGAACAGCCAAGTATTTGTTTGACTAAAAGAATAATGTTCCGACTTTAAATATCATGTTTCATATAGTGATCCTTAACTTCCTACATTAAGCTGTCTGGCATTTGATAGCTTATGGGTCTTTGTGAGCAATTGTAAACCTCTGTGTGTTGTGCTGGCATTTGAACCTATGGTCTTAAGGAGAGCAGGTATTTTTAAAATGTGGCATACAAAACACAATTCAGTGTAAAATTATTTAGAAGCCAATGAAATTTGCATCAGTTCATGGTAATCTCTGCATTTGAATCTTATGCTTTCCATTTTGACTTCTAATTCTGTATGTTCTGTGATGGCTGAGGAAAACATGTATTTTTCCAGAGGAAGAATAAAATGACATCCAATTATTGAGCCTTATCCTTTCTTGATCATAAGCAGACTCAGGTTTCTTTTCGCCCATTAATATGAACTGACACTTAGTTTTTAAGATTCAGAGCTTTTGTCTGTAGGTAGAACAGCTAATACAAAGAGCTACTTTAAAGGGCACTCTGAGGTAAAAAATGAGAAATTAAATTTTGACTAGAAAGAGAGTATTTCTTTTTCTCTAGATTGTTATTTGTTTAAAGCTGTATAATCTTCTTATTTTGAAGAAGAGATGTGGGCAGAAGTGACGGCCAAGTGCCACTGAATGAAGGCGGCGCTTGTGGGCCGTCACTGATTTGCCTGTTTATTACCTCTGTGAGTGGACAGTATGGGAGAAAGCTGACTGTTATTTAGAAAGATGTTTCTCCTCTCGTGCTGCTCTGCTTCCAGCTTACTTTTGTTTACTCTGCCTGTAGCTCTTTTCTGTTTCATTTTAAGACTGTAGTTGTATCATTTTGTGATTGCCTATCAGAAGTTTGTTTTGTTTTTTTTTTTTGGCGCTGGGAATTAAACAGAGAGCTTTGTGCATGCTAGGCAGATACGTTAGCTTTGAGCTACATCCTCAGCTCCATCAGAAGTATTTTGTTGATGAATTGTTTCTCTGGGATTTAGGGGAAGATTTGCGATATTGCTTCCCTGGAGATTCTATTGCTTGGGGTTTTTTTTTGCCTCAGGTACAGAGAGTTGGGTTAATTATCTCTCTCAGTCTTGGCATGTGTCATTAGTAGTTCTTGAAGGCCTCCTTTTATTTATTTTTGTTGTTATTGTGCTGGAGATTGAACCCAGGGCCTTTGCACTGACAGCCTCACCCCTTTTAAATTATTTTATTTGAGGCTCAGATAGAACTGGTGATCCTTCTGCCCAGCTTCCCAGAGTGCTGGGATTATAGGTATACACTGCTATACTAGTCTCTTCTTGTTTTATTTTACATTTTCCTCTCATCCCTTCTCACATCACTCTCCACTGTAATATAGTAGTTTGATAGAGGACCTTCTATGCCTGTCTTTACTCTTCAAGTGGCATCTGTTAGGATAATTAATTTCAGACCTAGGATCTGTTAGCTTCTTCTTCATTTATTCCTGTGGGATGCTTAGTTTAATAGCCCAGGACTTACTTTGAAAAATCAAGCCTGAATTCTTAAGTTTTAGTGTTGGACTGTCTAAATCCCTTAGTAAATAACTAACAGGAGCAAACCCACTTTATGCTATACATTCATTCATATATATTATTCATTCATATATATATATATATATATATATATATATATATACACATTTACCTTTTAAGGAAGAGGTTTCACTCTTCGGGGCATACCAAATGTAATTTTCTGATGTGTAGACAGTGATGGATGCTTTGGTTTATGCATAGAGAATTCAGGTTGATGCAAGATCTTTGGGTGATAAAGTTAAGATAAGAAATAGAACCAGCTTTTTCTTTTACTGTGTATTTTTGTGTGTTTGCTCTCGAGGTTTTAGTTGGCAAGATTTGCAATTGTTTTATTTCATTTCCCTCAGTGACATGGTAAATAAATAAGAAAGCAAGTACATGGAAAGAGAAGCAAAATTTAGACAAATTCTCACAAATCAAAAAATTTTAATGGAACAGTTAGAGGATAGATGGGCTGTCACAGAGCAATGGAAGCAGCCAATCAGCAGAATGAAGACAGAGGAAAGATGAGGAGGCAAGAGGGTGCTAAGGAGGTAGAACCTGATAAAAGATGGTGGTTTGAGAACAATAGAACGTGTTTCTAAGAACTTAGCATGAGACCGATATTCCTGGTAATCATAAAGTTGGGCTGTTTTCACAGACAACCAAGACCATGTAGTCTACATATTAAAGTACAAGGCAATTTCAATGAAATAGCATAGAAGAAAGTTAACCTGAGAAATGAAGTCTGGATTTTAATAAGATAGAAATGGTCAAAATGGAGAGTTGTAGATGGAAGAATATGTTAGAATAGTAATGGTTGGAATGTGACTACAGCCTAGAGGTGGGTGGACCAGCACAGGAAAGGGTAGAGATGTGAGCCTGAGAGGTGAGTCAAAGAGTACAGAAATAGGCAGTGATAAAAGAGAGGGTATTAAACACAGGGCAAGACCCGAGAGTGAGACTTACCAAGCACCAAGGGTAGGCAGCATGGAAATGACAGTTATTGTTTACTAGTGAAAGCTAGGGTAGGCCTCAGGATATGGCTCAGAGATAGATTATTTCCCTAGCGCGTGCAAGGCCCTGAGTTTGATGTCCAGTACCAAAAAAACAAGTAGTTCAAGATGAAATAGAATAATGGCTGTAAAGTTTTATTTCAAGGCTAAAACTCTGCTTTGTAATTTTTAATACAGTGTGATACCAAGACTGTAAATCAGTTATTTTAGTTAGGTGCAAGACAGAAGTGGCCACTGGGAAGCTGTTTATAAACTAAAAACACCTTTATTCAGAGTGGTGAATCACTGTGATTATATTACCCAAAACTTTTTAGTCAGTTCATGCCATTGTTGAAATCACGAAGTTTCAAGTTGCCAGGGTGTGTAAACAACCATCCTTACACTACAGTCAGGCTATATCATTTCTCGTAATCTAGGACACACGGTGGAAACTGCTCAATAAATTCTTCCCTTTGAGCTCACTGCCATTTTCCTCTGGTAACCCCATGTTCCCAAACTAAAGCCGCCTTCTCAGTGACTCGAGTGTTTCTGTGGTCATCTCGGATATAGTGTTATTAGCAGGGAGTTTTAACCTAGTTACTCAACTTCAAAACATCATCAGCTGTTGTTTTATTTTGAATGAAGTTGTCTAATTTTGCAGTCTCAATTTTATGACTTTGGTTATAACAATTTCAGATTTTTGGAGAAACATGTCTTCATTTTATTAAAATCTGTCTGCATATTTCAGGTTACTTAGGGCAATCCTGGCATGGAGCATTGTGACACTGTTTCATCAACATAAAAGCCTAGAGGAAGAACTGCTTTAAGATGAAAGCTTATTAACAGAAACGAAGAAAAGCAAAAGGCATGCACAGATGAAGTTTGCTAAGGCGGTCACACTTGAAAGTTGCTGATCACCTGCTCATTTCATGTTTACACGGACAGAATTAGTTACTCAAAGTTCATTTCTAAAATTTGTCATAGAAAAGATGTCTGATGGTACTATTTAGTAGCCAAATAACATCACTCCCCCAGATTAACTATATTAATTAGAAAGAGAAGACATAGTTAAAAAAAATAGTTTTAGAATTATGATGCTGAATGTAGTGATCGTAATTCATAGTGAAGAGAATATAATTGTATTTTTTTCGTCCCAGGACTTCACTGATTTTGGCACATACATTTTAACATGATCACCCGTATTTGGTGGGCATGATCAGTAACTCTAACCTTAGCTTATTTTTATGTTTTCAAAATTCTCTTATCCATGAACTTGTGGTGGGCTATGCACGGTCAAAATACATTTCAGACTTGGTGTTACTTATATGCTTCATAAATGGTAAAGACGCTTTGGAATGCTTGGCTCTGCTACTTTAGGCAAAATACATGATCTGTATTCAACATCTGTAGAGTAGGGGTCATTATACTTCCATCGCTTGTATATTTTATGCTAATAAATACTGACTGATATAGATTTCTGTTGTTTAGTTTCACCTTGTAGTTTTAGAAGGACGTAAAGTGAGATACAGTTATCTTACTGTTGTTATTCCCTTGATACCAGCGTGTTGGAGGACCTTGTATAAATGAATAAAACTTTGTCCTCCTTGGTCATTCTCCGAAGTTGCTCTTCTAGATTCTGGTACCTGGTTATTTTAAAGGAATCTTACAAGGACTGATTCAACCAACAAATAGCATGAACATTTTTTGTTTGTTTTTGAGATAGGGTCTCACTACCTAGATCAGGCTTGCCTTGAACTCATGTAGCCCAGGCTGGCCTCAAACTTGTGGCAGTCCTCCTGCCTTAGTCTGTCAAGTGCTGGGATTACAGCTGTGTACCACCATGCCTGGCCAGATGAGATAAAATGATTCTCAAATGTAGAAGTGCTTTCAACCGTAATAGTAGAGTTGTTAGCTTACCCTAGAGGATCTAACCCTTGTTTATTCTCTTGTTTTTTGCTGTCTGAATGACCAGTTTTGTAAGCTCTTCCAGCTTGTCCTTTGGTCGCATCAGAGGACAGAAACTGTCCATTGCCCTGCCATTAGTCAGACTTTATCAGCTTCCTGCCTTTACATCTAAATCTGACCCTACCTCATCTCTTATTTCAGAAGAAGAGATTTCCCTTCTTTTTCCAAGTTGGATTCTAGCTATTCTGCCCTTTTGATTTTATCACCTGTTCACCTCAGTTAAATTAAAAACATGCTGGTCTCTTCCACATACATACAAATCACAACCTTTATATTTAATCCCTCTTGTAAGCAACCTTTCTCATCTTTCCTGTCAGAGTTTTACCAGGTATGATTGTCCTTTGTATATATTCATTTCCCATTCTGTTTTCCAT